TTGAACCGCCAGCCTTCTGGTTAGCAGTCAAGTGCCTGAGGCACTACACTACCGGAGCTCCTAATTCTAAGATACATGTTTCTAAATCATTTCTTTCTAGGAGAAGGAGGCAGAGAATAGTTTGAGCCTGAGTAGGTTTATGTGAATGAACTAAATGAATAAAGCAGCTGGACAGATTGTACTGCTTTCTTTCTGATATGACTTTTCTGTAATTAATAAAAAAGAAAGAAAGAAAGAAAAATTCCTCTACTCTGCTGAGTGGTCTGACGGTAGCCCTAGTGGTCATTCTGACTGCAGAGCTACACCTGCAAGAAGGAAGCCACCTCTTCTGTAGCAAACACTGGCTTTTTAGTTCATTATTCCTTTCTTTTAGACAAAATGAAAGACAAAGCTTTTATGAAACCCCTCAGGATTAAGAGCCTCCCTGATGCATGGGTCAGCCTAGCCGTGCACGCAGCAGGGCTCAGTCGTGGCTAAGCCTCCTCTTGGAAAGCTTCCTCCTGCCACGCAAATGGACAAAGCTGGAAAACTTCAGCTCACTGTGAATCTGTTCCTGCTTACGTACACTGACGCTTCCTTCTTTCCATACCGGATTTTGGCATTGTGTGCCCTTTAGATGGGAACCCAGAGTATATTAGGAACATCTGAATATGTTGAATGAGGCCAATGGCTTTACTGTTAAAAGATGTACTAACTGTAAACCTCACCTGAGGGGGCAAATGCATGTTGACACCCAAAAGGATCCAGCACAATTTACCAATTTTAAATATTAAGCTTCATGTTTGTGGGAGGGATATTTTTTCTTTCTTTCTTTCTTTCCAGATTCTAGTATTTTCCTTTTTCCTTTTGGAAAAACACAGTTCAAATGCCTGAAAATATTGGATCTATTAGAATAAATGTTTTCCCTGTAGTGAATCTAAGTTATTTTTATGCAATCCCATAAATAATCTGTATAGAACAAAGTTATGGATCATTCATTCCCCTTTACCTAGGCTAACACAGTACCCATTAGCCATAGCTATTAGCTGTAGAACAAGATTGGAAGGCAGGACTCTGGAAGTTGACATGAATGGCTAAAATGACCAATCAGTGGTTATGTAAATGTTACTCCTAGTCTTTTCCCTCTCCACCATATGTAAGTATTTCTCAGTAGGCATGGCCTATAGTTAATTTAGCCTTTGTTTTACTTTATCCTGATTATTTCCTCCATACACACAAAAAATCTAGATGGCAATTCAGTCTCACATAAACAAAAGCAGGTAAACTCAAAGCTTTTTAAGGAAGCAATAGATCTGTATACTTAGATGGGTTCCCAGGAGAATTGAATAAGCTAGGGAAAGAATTCTACTTATACATAATCTCAGTACCCAATGAGGAGCCTAAGCACAAACGTAGGACAAAGTGAAACGCCAGCTCTGCTTCAGCTCCAGGTCAGTAACATGAAAACGGTGGTGGCCGGGTCACTCTCCTGCTTCCTTCTGACTTACATCACCAGATAAGGGCCTTGTCTTCTTTCATTTTGTGATTCTTGGCAGCAGCATTAACAACGGTGGTCCACATAAACAGGCTCTGGATAGCGCACTCAGCAAGAGCGACCAAATCTGTCACTAGACGAGGACGCCAGGCCGACCGTTACATGCATCTCACAAAGACGCATTTTGTGGTGGATATCAGTGTTTTCAGTGTTGGCACCATGAGACATCTGAAATCACTCAGATAATTGTTTGTTGTTTCCTCTCAGGTTACAGTCCCTGGACATGAGCCATACCTCACAAAGGTGATTATTGAGAAGAAATCCCAGAACTTCAGTGCTCTTAAAAAGGATATTCTACTTCCATTCCAAGGGCAATTGGATTCTATCCCGGTATCAAATCCTTCATGCCCTGTGGTTCCTCTCTACAGAAATTTGCCAAGCTACTCAGCTGCAACAAAGCCTGGTTTGTTCCTACTTTCAGTGACTGTTCTGCACATATTTTTCAAATAAAGCAAAACGTGAAACTCAACCCTTGTCAGCACCTGGAATCAGGGATTACTCAAGCCAGTTTACTGCATCTCTAACTCCCTCTGTGGAATCTCGACTGGATAAACTCCACGGGCTTCCCTAAAATGAGAAATGGATGTTTCCCAATCATGCAACAATGTGTGGTAATAATGAAAGTAATCAGTCAATCTTAGAGATGAATGGAAGCTGCCTATCATTCAATTGCTGCCCACTCACATTTAAATTAACCTTGAAGACTGTCAGAAGTTAAATTTGAAAAGGAAAAAGAAGTTCCTATAAGGAAAAATAAAAAGAACTAGAGAGCCAGATGGACATAAGCAATAAAGATGAACATCCATCTATCACCTACGATATACAAGACCTTGCTAAGTGCTACATATGAAGAGGAAGTGAGTGCCATACATAATTAGTTCTCAGCACAGTAAGAAATTACAGGGCTGGGAATATTAGTTTTGCAAATGGTTTAAGAAAATGTAAGACAAGGGGCAACAATGTCTTAGTGGTCCAAGAAAGTATGGGTCTGGTAGGGTGACGAGGTTATGTCTACAGAGCTGCAATCAACAGGCCAATTAAGTCTTGCTCCCTCCAGAGGTAGTTTGCTGCACCCAGATGCCACAGTCCTCTGCTGGGCTGATGACTTCCAAATGTGTAACTCTATCTAGCCTCTTGCCTAAACTTCAGCCTCATAGCCGACTGCCCACTGGGCATACCCACCTGGATGTGACCCTTGTTGTTGCTGTTAGTGGTAGTCAAGTTGGCTCCTGACCCATAGCGACCCCGTGCACAGGAGAACCTGACCATTGTGATCTGGGAAGTTCTCAGTGGCTGATTTTCAGAAGTCCATTACCAGGCCTTTCTTCTTTCTCGTCTGCGCTAGTCTGGAAGCTCTGCTGAAACCTATTCCCATCATAGTAGATGTAAGCTTCCACTGACAGCCAGGTGATGGCTGGCCACGAGGTACACTGGCCAGGACTCAAATCTAGGTCTCTGGCACGAAAGGCAAAAGTTCTGCCACTGAACCAACACTGTTTCCACAGGCACTTCAAATGCATGTCGAACACGGAACCTACTTTCTTCCCTGGAGCTGCTTTTCCCCCTGTATTTTATCAGTTAATGTTGCCACCAAGCTAAAAACCTGGGAACCCTGCTTGATACTTCCTCCTCCTTCTTCACCCCATATACTCAGTCAGTCATTGAAGACTGATGTTAATTTTAATTGCTGAGTCTAGCCTTTCCCCTCCATGGCTATTGACACTGGCACATTTAGGCTGTCTGTCATCTTACCTGCAAGGAGCAGTGGTGGCACAGTGGTTAAAGCATTTGGCTGCTCATCAAAAGGTTGGACGTTTGAACCCACCAGCTGTTCTGCAGGAGATGAGGCAGTCTGCTTCTGTGAAGATTTACAGCCTTGGAAACCCTGTGAGGCCGTTCTACACTGTCCTGTGGGGTCACTATGAGTCAGAATCGACTTCGTGGCAGTGGGGAGTCTTTTGCCTGCACCACTGCCACAGCCTTACTGGGTGGTTTCTTGCTCCTACTCTTACCCTACTTCTTATGCTCTTCACAGCACTGGGGAAATGGGGTTTATTTAAGACAAAAATCAGCAGTCAACTGTGTGTGGTTCCTACACACATAATATGCTGTTTGTGCCCCCTCTGGAATGCTGTCCTGACCACTGCATTTTCTTTCCCACTCCTTTAAAAGTCAGTCCAGGTATCACTCACCTCCTCCAGGAAGCCTTTGCTGACTACCATTCTATTATACCCCAACCCTTCCTAGCTAGTCTGGGGTTAGGACCCTTCCTCTTTCTCCCCCAAAATAAACTTTCTCTCTGTTACTGAATTTACAGCACTGTATCATGGTCAGCTGCTCCCAGGTGTACCTTCTCTAGTAGAGCTTGAGCTCTTTGAGACCAGACTCTATATATAATTTGTTTGAAAAAATTCACATTGATACCCTCAGAGCCTAGCACACAGTACTGAAAAGTGAGTAGATGAACAAATGGTTCCAGCAATCCACTATTCCCGGTCCCGCCCAGAAACTGTAGGGCTTTGAGTCATTTCATGAAATTAGGTCCTATGTTTTGTTAATCTCCAGCTCACCAGTAACCCTGAAGAGTGTTTTCATATATGTATCAAGAAATAAACCCAAATAAATGCTTTTACTGTATTTTGCATTTAGCCAAAGGTTCACAGTAAAGGTATTATATTACCTGTTTATAACGCTACAGGGAGCTCTGGTGGTGTAGTGCCTCAGGCATTTGACTGCTCATCAGAAGGCTGGCAGTTCAAACCCACCACCCACTCCTCAGAAGGAAAACTGGGCAACCTACTTCCATGGAGATACCGCCTCGGAAACCCAAGGAGGGGTCGCTATGACTAGGAAATTGATTCCTCGACAGTGTTTGGTTTTGTTTCATTTTGTTTTGTTTTATATAGCACTACAGGATATATTTTTTTTTTATTGGAAAAAAAAAAATTTACCATTAGTACTCCTTTCGAAGCTACAGTTCTCCACTATAATAAGAGTTAACGTATCTTAAAATAATATAAGATTATATATAAGAATTAAGGGGAAAAGCATCAACAGAAAAAATAAATTTCTAGATGCAGAGTATCACTTATGTAATATGATTCATCTTGGTTCTTCTTTTAAATGGAAAGTTTTACAGAATCTGGAGACTGGCCCACCCTGGGCGTGGTACATGGTGAACGCTTGAGAAACACAAAGGAATCAGGAGACACAAGCGCACTGAGGAGCCACCCCTGTGCCAAGCTTATTCTGTATCACCAAAATCAGACTTACTATAAACAGAATGTGTAGTCTTTTCTTTAACCACTTCTTATAAAACCTGGTAACAACATGAATATTGTGATCATTTTTATTTAAACAAGCAGTAATTTATTATATACGCAAAAGAATGTATTAATATATTGCAGAAAACATGTTTGAAATACTACATGTAGAAGTATACTAGAGTTGACTGGACATCCTGAGTTCTAACTTTTCCTTTTCTGAGATACTAATCTTTGAAGGAACTTGAACCAAAATCTGAATTGGTTCATAAGCCTTAAATTTTTTTTTACTGAAACAATGTTTTAAAGTCAAAAATTTGTATCAGAATCAAATTTACTTAAAATAGCTTAAACAAAAAATTTATCTTCAAACCAAATCTAAGCCAATCCTGAATGTCATTCCGGGCAGGTTTGGGTACATATTAATGCAGTAAAGCTGTGTGTGCAAATAGAACGCTCCCAGTGAAGAGTGCAGGCTGGCAGAATCCCAGTTTGGTCTCCACTAGGCAAGGGAGATGGCCAAGAGGATGCCTTGGGAATCCTGAAGTCCAAGCAGGTCCCCCGACCTCCCTGCAGAACACTTTGCCTACTGTTTCTCACCCTCTCAAACTGCTGCTTATGCTCCTTGGGCCCTTAATTAAGTTCAGGTTATAAATACTTTTACAGAGAAACCAACATGATAAAGATTTTCAAGAGAGCAGAAAAGCAGACAGCAATGATGGAATAAAATTGTAATTAGAAGGCAGGCGACCTTGGTTCAAGCCCTCCACATGTTCAGTTTCCTTATCTATAAAGCGCTTTACTGTGATTCTGTGACTCTTAAAAGCAGTGTTATCAGATGCCACAGTCTGGTGCCATTGTTGGTGCTTGTCCAGAAATGTTAAAAGCCTCTTAAGGTTTCTGAAAGTCTTTCTAAGAAATCAATGTTACATTTTGTTACAGAAGCAAACTTGCATTTGTAATCTGTTTGTTTCTAAAAATGGTTTAAGGAGTGAGGCTACCTTTAAAAAGCAAAAAGATCTGAAGCTGAGTTGAAAGTATCTTTCCTCTGTAGAGGATCCAGAAAAATGAACATAGTATATTGTTCTATTGCAAAAGGAAAAGTTACTTACTGAGAAGTTGGGTTCTTACTCTGTAGGTTGACAATATAGTTGTTATCTGTGTGACAGATCCCTCTTATTTCCTCATGACTTTTGATGGGGACTGGGGGAGAAACGATGACCAGATTGCTCAAAGAGCACTACGAATCCACAATACTTAAAACAGATGTTCTGGGTTCTGTAATGAAAGAATCCAATGCCATTACTGTATCACTAATAAGCATATACTGTACTGTACTGTTCACAAACCATCATATCGTCCTTTAGCATATGAATCACTCCACAGCCTTACAGATGTTTTATACCTGATTTTTACAAGTTTTCTCAGTGACTTTCTTTTGTATTATAATTAAGAACTTATTATAATGAACAAACTGTCAGAGACTGTAAAGTTTATTGGGTAGGGGATATAACTACCTCTGAGTTTAATAAATCTACAATATTTCATATTATCAATAAAGAATTAATATTCATGTAAGTAACGAATGCTGTTTCTTTCAATTCCATTATCTTGAAAAAATACCTGTGGATGTGTAACAAAGTGCACATCTGAGAGAGAACTGATTACCATCAAATAAAACCTGAGGAAAACAAAATTAATGACCATGTATGAAGAGCCCTGGTGGCACAGTGGTTACGTACTCAGCTGTTAACCAATAGGTTGGCAGTTCAAACCCATGAGCCACTCTGCAAGAGAATGATGTGGAAGTCTGCTTCCATAAAGATTTACCCTATGGGGTAGTTCTACTCTGCCCTATAGGGTTGCTATGAGTCAGAATCAACGGCAATGGGGTTTGTTGTTTTGTTTTGTTTATTTTATATTACAACAGCTCTTCAAAGCCCAGATATGCCTTTCAAAATGTTTTCTATATTACACATTAATTTGTACCATGTGGCAGGGTATTTCATGGACAAGATGCTGGATGAAAAGTATACTTGCTGGTCAAAAAGATCTTGGAAAATTCACAGTGCACATTAATGTATTAAAAGTCTCTGAGAATATAACCCTGATACCCAGACCAGACAAAGACAACACAAAGAAAAGAAAATTATAGGCCAATATCTCTTATGAAAATAGATGCAAAAG